TTGCAATTGTGTACGAAATGTTGCCGTTATTTTAAAGAAATATTACCCCACCAAAGAAATTCAATTTAATTGAAATTTATTGAGATCTTTTTCTGATTTCAACTTGTCTAATTGTGGAGTGAGGAGGAATAAGTCTCATTGATGAACACAAATAATATTTTGTCTGTATGCCTAATTGTTTTTATCGTGTAAATGTCTTAGTTTGTTGACGACCTTTTCGAAGTGACAGTTTTAATAATGTTCTTGTACAAGATCTGAAAATTAAGACTTAAGTCCTCGAAATGCGTAATCCAAGGACCGTACAGAATCATTCTGGCAGTACTCAGGTAATGTTATACCATTTAAATAAATTAAAATGGATACAATTTTATGATGAACAACCGAGACTATTTTCTTCAGCAAAATCAGCGAAGGGGAGTCGAAAAATGTTCACCTGATGTCTTCAAGTACTGCAGATTTTTTTATGACATAGGGATCAAACGAGCTATTTTAAACAACGCGAGGTATCTATGTAAAACAGCAACTTTCGCTACGACCCTAAGATGTCGGCCGTAGAACGATTGGCACACATTTTTAGCCGATTTGGAATAGCACGACTGGCACAATCATTAGAGGGGATTAAGAAGGGTCAAACTGTAAGGTTCGGAAAGGCACGATTGGCACAACAGACCGGTAAGGAAGTAGTAGGGTGGTAGCCAGAATGCGGGAAAATGGAAATTGTTTTGTCCCCACAAAGTCCCCGCTGTAGTGCTTATTAGAGTTAGCAATGACTTCATCCATGGTGTAAGTTTGAGCGACAAATCTGCTGCTACGTTCACTGCCCCTGCTAAAACCAAATAAAACTACACTAACCCAACCTAACTTAACTAAACCTATCCTAACTTAACTAACCTAACCTAACCTAACCTAACTTAACCTAACCTAACTTAACTTAAAACCTAACCTAGCCTAACCTAACCTAAGCTAACATAACCTAACCTAACCATTGAAAATACGCTATATTACCGGCAAACGACTGTCGTAGCAGAGTTGACGGGGAATTTTAAACTTCCCGTTTTCCATCGTTCGATGGCGTTTACTTGGTCGAGCGGTTGTGCCAATCGTGCCTTTTCCAAGCAGGCGAGTTGACCCTACTTGTTCCGCTCAAATGATTGTGCCAATACTGCCATGGGCAGAAGATCCAAAAATGTGTGCCAATCGTCCCGTTCCCAAGATGTCACAGCAATAAGGAACATTTGGGTCGGTTGACGTTTTAACATATAATTTTTTCCCCAATATCAGGTAGCCAAGGCCACTCTTGCATGTCAAAGACCTCCGACCCACCCTAGTTTTATACCGCCGCGCCTAGTCCTTCACAGGGGTAAGTTATTGGGCCATATACCCCCAAAGTAGCCCACCCAGGGGTGTCAATGACTCATCCAAAAACTGAAACGTAGCCCAAATTGCCCAGAGGTGAGAGAAGGTAATTTTCCCCACGTAGGCCTAATTCTTGTGTTTACATCCTACTCCCTTTGTTGAGCAGAGTGTAGGCTGTAAGTGGGTTATGCGGGGGTATAATTGGGTAAACACATGTTAGCAGATGTGGAGTTGTCATAGACTTTAACATTGAAATATTATAGTTAAAACTTGATACAGTATATATACATAGCCTATAGTGTTCAGCATCAATTTATTTAGAATCTGTTCCTTAACATTTGAACAGTAAGTTGATAAGATGAATCTATACATTTGGCTTGAACTGATTCACTTCAAGTGATGCATTAACATAAAACAAACATTTCTGACAATTTTAATTAGATTAAAATATTTGGAAGAATAAGCGGGTGGATTACGTTAGGTTAGAAATTCTCTTCACTGATGAAAAATTGGTTACTTGCCAGGAAATTTGGAATGATTTTCTAATGTTATTTGGCATTTTATCTACCTTTTACGATTTGTTATCTGATAAATAACTTATTACATAAGTGGTTCAAATGCAAACAATGCATCTCAAATTTAAATACTGTATGAACTTTAAGTCCTAGAGAAATAACACCCGAACGTTTGACAGTTATGGTGTTTCCTAATTTATTTGTGAACTACAAGACCCCAGTTAAAATGCAAACTATGAATCTAAAATTAAAGTATGAACTTTGAACTAAAAATAAGGTTATATTGTTGGTAGGTCAAAAGTCTCCTGGATTCCAAAAATGTATCATAATAATGGACATAAAACAATTAAAAAAACAAATCAATTTATCTTTAAATCCAAATTAAACTATCCAACCTTTTTGGTTGATCGGATTTGTTTATATGTCATTAGTAATTTAATATTCGTTAATATGTGTTTCAATTAAATGAATTTAAATAAGGGATACGTAGAGAACTACAAAATTTCAATTATAGTAATGACTTACCAATATGTTTACCATATTATTGAGTCAAAATTTGTATGTGATAACTTCTTAGAGCAGGCTCAAGAGAAAGGTCATATCATGAACATGCTGAATTGAGCAATTAGAAAATGTTTTTAGACAAACAGTGAATGGGGGTTTTCTAGTTGAATAGAGGTCAATGTAAACATAGATATTTTTGTTTTGACTCTCCAATGTCTTTTAAGTATCTGAATAAACAAAAATTTGGCATTATATTTGAGTCAGAATATAAACAGTTTCAAACAATTATAAAACATATTTTCATTATCAGCATAGAGAGTGTAAACAGTAGTGCATTATACAGTATAACAATTTCGATACAATAAAACTAATGCTTTGTCCTTGATTAGTTTACGGATAAAATAACAGTTTATAAGGGATATTTAATACATTTGTCTTCACATTCTAATATTTTCAAAGATTTTCACACAAACAAAAAACAACAACGTAAACATAAACAATATAAGTAACAATTAATTATGAAGCAAGACCCATAAAATATCGCACAATGCAGTTTATCAACGTTAACGGAATGATCCGAATTTTTATCAGACATTACTTCACCATAACAATTGTTAACATTAACAATCATTAACTTCACTGGTTTGGTGAAATGAAATAATCAATGTGATTAACAATACTAAAACTTTTTACTCTATTGTTGTGTACTTACCTACTATAGGTTTTTATTTTGAGTTATAAAAGTAATTTTTCATTTCCAAGTTCTTTTGATAAATTGATAAGAAAAAATAAATTTTTACATTGATTTGGTCAATTTGGTCTATAATTTTATTATAACCAATACTTAAGTGGATGTTTTTTATTAAAAATATTTTGTCTCTGTGAAGTATTCAATCTTGAAAAGTTCAAAACCTTAAACCTATTCGGAAAACATATTTTATGTAACATTAGTACCAAACAACCGATAACTTACTCCGAATAACAGATTTTTATGGAGTAGTATTTACTTGAATGTATAGAAATTAAATGAAAAAAATAATATTATGAACTGAAAATTGTTAACTAACTAACTATAATTTCCTCCACTCTTTTAATCAAATGCTGGATGATTAAAATAGTTAAAAATAAAAGTTATAAAGAAATTCTTGTTTATAAAGACTTTACAGTTAATTTATTGAAAATTCCACGTGGACTATATAAGGAAATAAATGGTGAGTAGATAATGCAACATTTTTGAAGATAATTTCTGATAGGCCTACAACCTATATGTACCTGTATTATGCCAATGAATATAAGTAAACAAATAATCTATTGATGATATATATTTATTAATTATCTCAATGGCTACACCCTTTTTACTAAGACATAATAATAACAAGTTCTCATAATGATAGTATAATAGTTTCAGCAATTAAAACATAACCAAATTAATAATAAATATTACATAACCATAAAATTAAAATAACATGACTTATTGTTTTTAACAGCCTAATCAATGATAGATCATCAATAGCACAACGACAACAACTCACATTAATTTTATGAACATGTAATAGCACAGCTCTTTTAAATACTATGAAAACTATAAACAAAATAACAGTTAACAGTACAGTAATAAATACATATAGGCTATACAATAACAAAAATAGTCTAAACATAAATAAAATATACAAATGACAAAGCAACAACAGATCAAAAGTATATAGATATTTTTGTTTATTTACTAGTGACGATTCACTGACATTATTTTAACAACCCAAGTATTTGGGGTTTAAAATTTAATTAGTTTGCTCCTTAAAGACAACAAAAATATTATCATGTTGATTTTGCGTTTATACAGAAAGTTTGAAATAAATCATTCGATGGCGTAAATATGTTTATTTACCGCCATCGAATGATTATAACTTGATTAAACGCAACATCACCATAATTATATTTTTGTTCTCCACTATAGTTTTGATTCTCCGTTAAAAAAAAGCACTACCCTATCCTAGATTCAACTTTGTTCCCGCGTTATTCGTCTCTGGGGTCCAATCTGCGCGGGAAACCTAACAACTTCCCTCCGCTCGCCACCCAGCTCGTCAGTTTATCATAAAATATGTAATAAGACGAAAATGTCCGATTACGCTTCGGAACCGGATTAAAGTCTAATTAAGACACTGGACGACCGACGTAATTAGACTATCGCCGTGACCGCCGCCAGCGCCATCTCGCCTCGGTGGTCTGCAATCGGCGACCAATCCATCAATATATCCGGACCCGTTACGCAGCCGATTACACTAAATTCAAACATAATACAAGTAATTAGGAGCGCCGTGACAGAAATATCGGCAGTCGGTAATTAGTGATGTAGCGCTTATAAAGTAAGGTTAGCGGCGAGGCGGCGAGGCGACCGACAAAGGAGAGGTGGCGCAATAAAAAAGATATAACAATCAAAACAAAACATGAGAAACTCGTTTGTGCTAATGGGCGGGGCTAGAGACCCCAGCGTGCCGTGTGATTGGCGGGGATAAGTGGTCGAGAAGAGGCCACGCCCCCGCCCCTCCCCTAGCGCGGCGGTCGGAGGGCTTTGTAATTTATTAAGTGGGCACTCTCCGAGAGAGACAGACTGTCGATCCTGGCGTATTCTTTGTGGTGTTCGTGGCGTGATGTGAACCGCGTGGACTTTCCTTCAAGATTTATGTGATTTAATTTTGTGAGGAAGAAGTGACTTGAGTTTGTAGTGATCGCAGTGAGTTTTGTTACCGGTTTGGACGCTTCACCAGGTAAGACTACAACTGTTGTTTGCGGTGTAACCGCATTGTAGGTACGGGTATCTTTATAGCCACTGAACAGTCTACTGGCTTGTTCCAAGTGAGTTTATTGGGCTGTTGTGTTATCGGTGGTCGACCGCAGTTGTAAACGGTACCCTCATAGTTTAATGGACTTCCTGTATGGTAAAGTGTCTTGTGCGAGGTTCACTCGCGATGCGTTGCTGAAGACATGGCAACAGGAGGGCTTATAGACGAGGAAAACGCACTCGAGACTAGAGACGAACGTGCGAAGATGAAAACTTCAGGACTTTGTGTGAAAAACGGGTTTCCCGGTGAATTTAGATACGCCGAAGAATACCAAACTAGTCCGGAATCTTCAGAGGGTGTACGGCCACGGACGTTTTCTGAGGATGAAGATGAAATCAGTGTTGGAATCCCTTCTCCCGCACCTGAAAGGTTGGATGGGTACTCCGACGAAGACAGCTGTTTGAGAAGACCAGAGTCACCAATAATTTCACGAACCTCTTTTCGCGAAGAAAGATCTTCCGGAGACGAAGTCGAACAAAGCGACGAAAGAACCTCTTCTCTATCATCCGCCTCGACTACCATCCACTGCCGCCGACCCTCCAACACATGTTCCTCCGAAGACGACGGTGAGCACAGAGAAGACGAATACTTCAAACCCCTGAAGAAACTCAAGATGATGAAAATAGACAAAGTTAGTTACAGCATAAACAGATCGAAAACACCAAAACGAGTTCACAGACCACACCAATCTCAAAGTCCGAAAGAGTCAATTCCGAGAAGAGGCAGTTCAGAAGAATCATCAGGGTCGAACGGAGTGAAGTCTTTTTCAATATTGGACATTTTAAATCATAGGCCTTCGAAGGGTGTAAGATTAGATGATCCTAGAGAGACGGTGGTTCCTACTAGGATAGTCAGACCCTGGGACTACGGTGGTTTGGAGGACCCAGGTGCTTCTTGTATACCACCTCCTGCACATCGGGGGCTGATTCCTCCTCCGCCACCCTTACTGCTGGAGAGGTTTCATAGGGTAGGGCTGCATCAACACCTCAGGCCCAAGTCTGCAGACCTGTACGACACCTCTGCTTCCACCTGCAGCTCCTCGGGAAGATCTTCTACAGGAGGAAGTGATTGCTGTACCTCCCCCGACCTGCCCCCTCGGCGAGCTCAACCCCCGCAGAGGCCAAAGGGTAAACAACCCTCAGCATCACCTCTGGACGCGCTCTTCCAGATGACGAGCAAAACCTTCGAGGAGCTCAATGGCGAGGCTGGACCAGGTAAGACTATTTTCTGTTTATGAGGAGAAGGGTAAATTAGAGACTAGTATTAAAAATAATGAAATATATTTAAAACTATAGGCCATCGGGCCTTATTGATTTATAAGCATGTGTGCACGGTGCATAGATGTGGTACTGATTATTTTGTACGTGTCATTCTAAATAAACAATTTAAACTTTTAACAATGCAAACAATCTGTTTAAATGATTTAATCAACTTTGTAAGAGTTAAAAATAATTAGGTGTAATATTGTTTTGCTATATAATAAAGAACTAGCAGCCTTTTTAAATTTGCAGTACTAGTGTTAAATGCACCAATACAAGAAGATGTTGAAATGCATGGATAAAAATACTCATCGTATGCAAACAGATTCTAAAATAATGTTGTCACATGTTAGACATCCTATGTTCAAATATGTTTATACATTATTATAAAATGTCAAAAAAATGTACTTAGACGATTCTTCTCATTTATATATAATTTGTTTTAGTTTTTTATAAACAGCCGTTAAACATTGTATACCATAAATTACAAAATTGAATAATATAGTAAATTTAATTACTGATATAAATATATTACAAATATGACGATATAATAATCTTAAAATCTAATTTTAAAAGAATATTCAAATACCGAGAACTTACATTTGCATTTTAAATCATTGTGTAGGCTAATTTACCAATCCACATTTAATTGCCGAAATCAATACAGTATTTTCCCGTGTTTTAAATTAAGTTTGTCAATACAATTCGAAATTTCAATACATATTAAAATAGTTACAGTAAAAATTACATAGAATACTGTAATCGAAGTTGATGAATAATTAATAATCTGGATGTAGGGATGTGTAAAAATGAACATTTGGTATTAAAAATTAATATTGTCGCTGTTTTGGCCACAAAACGTGACGAATAAAGCATGTTTTATCTATGATTATAATAATAATAAATTTAGAAGCAGGGGTAAAAAATAATAATTTTCTAACTTAAACGTCTTTAGACTTTGATAAATAAGCGATGTAAGGGACCGAACTCTATTAAAGTTACTTTTATATTTAAAAACATATTCAAAAAAAATACATAAAGCCTTAATATCTTCAAGAAGATTAATATCTATCTGCCTTAATGTTCATATCACTGAATATATAATACTTTGCAGTATATCAGTCTATGGTCCAATGCAATAAAAAAATAATTTGATAAATGAATTGTCTATATTCGTTACACGTGTATGTGTTTGTGTTTACTAATATTACTTTCGTCATTTTTCCAATCTCAAAACTATAAATTTAACCTTAATAGATATGTTCACCAGTTAACTATTGCTAAGTCCCCGATATTATTAACAAAGATTAAATAGCAAAATTTTAACTACAAAAAAATAAATTAACACTCACGTGATTTACTTCAGAATCATATAGTTGACATCCACGCATCCACGCGTATTTAGATATAAAAATACAAATTAATTTCACACAATTATAACAGATATGTATACCTGCAATAGCAAATAAAGTTATAATTTTCTATTTTCTATTTCTATTTTCTCAATAATTTTCTATTTGAGCAAATAAAAAAAACCAATATTATCAATAAGAATTCACTGGCATGAACTGAACATGCTTCTGATTTAAAAAGAAACATTTAGTTAAAAATGTTTATTTACAAGCATTTAAAAGTCAATGCCTCGTTCTATAGAAGCCAATAAAAATGTAGCCTACATGAACAAACATACCCTATGTGTTGGTTCGCACTTTCACTCTAAAATTGGAGAGTGACATGAAACAGAGGAGTCAATAAAAATAAACAGTAATCAACTTATAGGCTTGAAGAAATTTACTGTAATATATTAGGGAAAAAACATTTAGTAAACATCCTACAAAATCTCTCATGAAACAAAAATTCTTACAATTTAGAATGACAAGTCTCATCGCACTATCCCAAGTCAATATACTTTGTTCTATTGAAGTCAATAAACGTCAACATACATCAACACACGTGGTGGAAAGGATTTTAATTTTGTCAGATTAATCATAGACCATCAAACTAACACGATTAGGCCTACTCCACAGGCTACCGAACAAAAGTCCAGATTCACAGGGGGCCTAACGACCGTACATCCCTAGTCAATTTGATCTAGTCAATCTGCCGGTCAAATGAATTTATTTTCCCATGCAGCCGCTCTCAGTTTTTGTCGCCGGAGAAACAAAAACATTGTTTTTCGCCCCCTCAAAGCCGCCGCCCTCAAAACTAATTGGAGAAGCCCGTCTGGCCTAAACAGATCCCGACCATGTCAAAATACGCATGGTGCTTGTTAGACATAGGAAATGTGTTGGGTTGACAACATGTTTATTTCGACCATGGACGGATAATAATTATTTTTGATTGATACTGTAACGGGTGTTTAAAAGATTTTAATTGTAAAATATTTATTGGCCAGTGGGATGTTTTCTTAGGGAAACTTTGTTTTAAGAAATGTTTGCAGAAGTACATAAAGGGAATTGTAAATCAGTTAGTAAAAAAAATTATTTTAACATTTTAGCTCGTTCACCAATAACTCTTTTTTAGAACCAATTTGTTCGAATTTCAGCGTTCTACTATTTATATCAAAATATTATTTACACCACTGTACTTTATGATTTATTTAACCAGCTGATTTAAAGTGTGAAAACTATAAAATCTGCTTATTAGAAATATTAAAATTAAATTTTAATTTGATAAAATTGTCCCAACTACAACTAGAACTAAATCCCACATTACACTACAAACCAAATAGTATGATGGATTATTTACAAAGTTTTCTTATTAAATATTAATGAATGGATTAAACAATGAACAAAATAATGAATAATTAAAACCATGAATGATCAAATATTATAAATACACCATTCATAAAGTATGTAACGCATTTTGATATGGACGAAACGAAATTGGTAAAAACAACATTAAATAAAAAAATTGTGAACTCTCTACAAATCGTAAAAAGTCTTAAATTAAAATCACTTAAGATTAAACTGAATAAATCAAAATAGTATTATAACATGATTGTGGAAACATTGGGAGAACCTTAGGAAACGAGTGAGGTGTTGAAAATGAGACGGTTTTGACAGCCCAAAAAAAGATTTGGAAATGGTCAAGTGATTTGGGAACAAGCTTAAGCCATTGATAGGGCTCGGTTTTCGACACCCTTTTGAGTTGCTCCTCGTCGACCGCATGTCAAAACACAGTTAATCCTGGCGGCGAGATCAAAGAAAACCCGGGACCGGGTCTTCAAAGTACCCGCGGCGGCGGGACCGGGCGCTGCATAGCTACACTGTAGTCAACTGCTTGTTTCTACCATGCTTTTACTATGGATACTACAAGTAGTCTTTTCTTATTACAAAATCTGAAGCAAGTGTTGGTTGGTGTGTTTTTCATTGGTTGTGGTGTATTTTATTGGTTAGCTTACTGAGTACTTCGATTCCTAAATGTTTCTTCCTAGTATTTTGAGATAAATTAACAGTGCGTGGATTAGTTTTGTTTTATATTAGAATAAAATATTTAACAATTTTATAGATTAATTCAGTTATTTTCCGTCATACTGCAGAAAAATCTGAGGTTGTCTATACATGCTTTGCAAGAGAAGCTCTTTATATATATATATCGTCACTAAGGCCTTAAGGGACACTTTCTGGACTAAATTTTAACGTTTTGAGAAAAAAATATTCTTAAGTCCCACATAGTATGTATTGAAAACAATTGTTCTGCTATAGTATGAAGAAAAATAATTAGCCTTAGCTTCATTTTATTATGTCTTATGTATATTTTTCATTTTGTTTGCCAGGACTGCATATTTTGTGGACGAAAATACGCTATCGTAGCACCTTTTAATATTACTGTGTTGTATTTTTCATCTTACGCTTTAGGCTCATATATCTTGAAAAAAGGATGGGCATGATAACTTTCCAATTAAAGATTACTCCCCTATGACAATATATTCCATGTGGTCATTTCAATTTACAGACGGTGCAGTCAATCAAGTAGTTTTTATCAAAAGTTGATTGTTGTGCCGTCAGTCGCTCTGTTTCATTAGACCAACCACTTTCTACGCAAATTGCTTCCCTCCAAAAACTACATTTATTTGGCGGCAATTTCTCCTTGATGTTTCGCCCACTTTCCAATTTTCTTTGCATTTGCAATAGTTCTTTCATTTGTCTTCTCTTTGTGGTGCTTATAAATTCGTGTCTCTACGACATAAGTGAAAACAAATTGGATGTTACCAAGAAGAGGCTGTGTTTATAAACCATTACTGTATAATATTTATTAGTTCTTTTAGTTATTGAATTAAGTTGGATAGGATTCTAGTTAGGTCAAATTTAATTTTATTTTGTGTGTCTGTCCTCTGGTATATTTTGAGTGCATTTTGATCATTATATTTATTTTTTGTCAAATCACTGTATTATAACCAAATCAACTCTCATCCTTTTTTTGACCAACGTGTAGAGAACATTGAAATATTACCCTAGAATGTGAGTAAACATTTTGTTGACATCTACGCACTCAAAAACCAGTCATTAAACGCACATTAAAACTTCACGGTTTAACTACACTTTGTTTACTTACAGAATCCAAAACAAATTAATTATGTAGGCTATTGAAATAAGTTCCCAAACGCGTAGTGACAATTTTACTCAGGATAAAATCAGTCGACATCAGCGTATTTAAACATACACGGACACGAATCACAAATAACCTTTAACCTTTGTATTGAAACGAAAATTTCATTTACAATATATGAAGTTAATGTTGAAGGATAAAATAATATAATAAAATAGGAACTGAAAGTGTACAATGTACAATGAAAATATTACCATCCGACGTTTAAACCTAACCCATAAAAAAGACTCAATGAAAATCAGGTTTTCAACAGGATTATATGTTAGCAGATATCTAGTAGAATATCATTTTAATCCAGATAAAAAACATTTAGTTGGCATTAGTGCATTAAAATATGAATCCGG